ATGAAAATGATTATGAACACCAAATCGTATCACGAATGATAAATTAAGTGTCAGTTCCAATAGAGTTCGAAGATATATCATCAAAATTGAGTCCGTATATTTTTCTCTGAGCTTTAATTAATTTTCCTTACAAAATTTTAAGTTAGTCGTTTTTTCACGTGAAATACTTTGACTTAAAATTTAGATGATGAGTAACTTATTACAGCTGACCGAATGGTTGTTTGTCATTTTTGATAATAACTTTTTATCTAAGGCACATCCAAACATTTCTACATGGAATACTACTATTATTTGTAAAATAATGCTATCTAGTATTTAAAATTTAAGTACCAAATTATCTGGATCATCTAAGTAATTAGTGGTAGATTATGAGTACATAACTCAATATTTTGGAAAAACTCAGTTATATTTCTCATGTCTAATGACTTTATTCGTGACGGTAAACCTAGTAATCATCTCTAAGACATTAATGTAATTGGAATTGGAAAATGGATGTACTTATCATCTATACATAGTTGTCGTTCATTAATGATAACTAATTGTTAGAAGTGTTCAGTCAAAAATAAGCTAGCTATTTTGCAAAAATTCACGTCAACCTCTGATACATTAAATTTTTCGATTTTGTTTGATGAAATCACGTAGTTTTAAAGGCCGCCATGTAATTTAAACTTATAAGTCAGTTAACCTTTAACCTTTGTTTCATAGGTGTTCACGTAAATACTGATATTTATAGTGAAATGCGGGTGCAGTAATATGCTTCAATCTTAAATACAAATCGTTTCATTTGGGATGAAAAAGTTAATTGGTAGCAATGAGAAAAAAATTTTCCAAAAAATATACAGAACCTAATAACATAAGAGCATACTAAATATCTACTCCGCCAGCGTCCCAAAATAGTCGGTATTGAACTGGTACAATCGATTAACCATCATATAAGGAAGTGTTTAACATTAAAAATTGTTAGATTGGTTACGACGGCTAGTCGAATTCAAGTAATTTTCGTATCATAAAAGAATTACCACATTATTTAAAAAAACTTACGTGAAATCATGATTTGAAAAACAACTCAACAATTGAGTAATTTTGCGATATAGTTTTTGATGATTTAAAAATATTCGAAATAAACCTGTTCAGTAATGCTCCATTTCATAGGGCATATCTTATGACTGAAAATAGAAGCATCTCATCGAAATAAGATAATCTTAACTACTGATATATTTTTCGTAGTAAAAAAATGAAACATTCAGATGGCTAAAATTTAATAACAGAAATGTCACAAAGCAACGTGCTATAACTCATATTGGTAGGAAAATTAGTCTATACCAATAAGAAAAGTGAGTTTGTCTATTAAATATAATGAAGTTGTACATTAATTTAAAAAAATATGTTTATATATTTACTGATGCAAACATGTTCCAATCAACAGGATAATAATAATAATATAACAGTATATTCCAGAAATGAAGCTCGAAGTTACTCACAGGAAACAGACACTATACAGAAAAGCCAGAAATTATCGAGCAAACAGAAACAAATCTTTCTTCAAACATTATCATGTTTATTAGATCACATGCGTACAAATGAATACAAATTTGGAGGAATAACCTTTTAATCACTTGTGTGCAGTCCAACATATCAATGAGCGACTTGTAAAGTATTAACAATTTTAGTCCGAAAAGAAAACATTAAATAAACAAATATGCTCTTCTACAGACAAATATATATTATTGAATTAGGTCATAAAAGCTCTTCAATCCTAATATTATAAGCGTCAACAGTTTTCTCAAGTATTTATTTCAGCGAAGGGAAACAGAAAATGTATGCTCATTAAGATTCAAAAATAGGCCGAACCGATCTTCATAAAGTACAATCCATTTTGAATATTAAGTGTGATGTCACGGCATTTTATTCTTTTATGGTACACTTTCTTTCTGTCTTTTTATTCTCTGAAGCAGTGGCTTACAATGAGTCACGAAACGTCAGAAAATCTAGTTTTTCATCTAACTCGGTGTTACGAATATACAATATCTCTATTTATTTATTTCTATTTGTTTGTATACTCATGCATTGTTAAATATATGTGTGATTAAACTGTTCGAAAAATATTACATAACTACAAACCGATTTTAGACCAACATCTTCTACTTATTGAACAATTTAAAGGACTGCGAACTCGAATAATATACATCATTAAGTGTGGTGTCTGTCGCAGTTATCCAGAGGATTCGATTTCGCCAATCGCCTACTTATAAATTGCTTGGATGACAAAAGATATTTCTAGCTAATCAACCTGAAAGAATACTTTTCAAATATAATTTGTGAGTGTCTTCAACATATCATAATGTAAACGATGGATGGTCACAATTATTTATGAAGTCTACAGTGTTATACAACATTCCTAACTGACGAAACAAGGAACTTCCAATTGATAGTAGAAACATAATCACTATAGTCTATCACTATTATTCACAATAGTGTACAAAAGGAGTACAATAAACAATATATTTCACTAGCAATCTACTTTTGTGAATTATATTCGTCACAGATTGACCTCACTTGAGTTGCTAGTGAACAACGATGGAGCATCGCACAACCATTTCATCTATGATGGTGTTTATAAGCAGCGAACACCTACGACACATACTAGGATCGAACATAAGTTCTTCATCACCTGCATCAAACGCCTGACCATTAGAACTAGTGGGAGAGTGTCTAACGATACTACTTATTTTCAATCAATTCACAATATGGTGTCAAGATCATTGGATGTCATCGGTAACAACAGTTTCACCGTCAATATGCCTGAATTGCCAGTTATGAGGATTTTCAAAATACCAGACGTGTTTTGAAGTGTTTATTAAGTGCTTTGGTTATTGTAATTGAAAGTCGAGATCATGAGTCAATTGAAGCGAGATCACCATAGAAAACCTGGAACCACTGGACGACCGTTTCGTCTCATTGTGGGACCCTCATCAATGTGCGTCCGCGATCCCGCCTTACGAGATACGAAACCAAGACATATTGGTCTTGCGCGCGAACGCTTAACCTCTAAATCATTGAGTCGGCATCCAACGCTGTTAGTATCTAACTTCAACTAATCCACGAAGTTGAGCCATACACTCATCATTGTCTTCAGTGAGTTACTATCTCACAACAGACCTGGTTGGACTCCACTGGTCACTGCTTCTCATCAGAACTCCAGGAAATACCTCTTGAAGTCAGTCACTAGTGAGCATATGTTGATTAATATCAGAAGGGGTTTTTGTGAATATTATAATAACTTTAACAGTTGATATTGTATTTTAGTTGAAAGTATTTTGAAGAGATGTGTTTGAAATGTATTTTACCTAAAACATTTCACATAATACTCGAGTATTCTGCGTTGTATGTCTTACGGAGTCAATAATATCCACTTCTTAGAAGTCCCACAATAAAATGAAACATTTTCAGTGCTTCTCAGCTTTGATCAATCAGTGACGAGTAAAACCCACTAATTACATCAATCTCAAGAAATACCTTATCATTCAGACTGGTCTTTATGATCAATTAGGTTTTTAGTTATTTCTAAATCATCGAAATGCCGTTTTATTTTCATTAGATGGTTTTACACAAAAGGAATAAAATGTTTTGTTTAAAAATGTAAACGAAAGTTCAAAAGTTTTCAAAACTCTCATTCATTCGAATGATTTAAAACTATAGTCAGTAACAATGCAAAGCACAAGTTCAATTATTTTGTTTTGTTTAATTATCAAAATATCCTCTTATCATACATAAAGATTACCAGTGAATTCAAAATCATAGATGATTTTTATGAGATACAGCTTTTTGAATCAAAGTTAAATTTATTGTGGTCAGTAGACCAGTAGAAATTGTATGATAGCGTACTCCTATTATAGTTTAGTAATGCTTTTCTGTCTTCGGTGCATAACTGTAAATCCTATTAATGCATGAACTTATTAGAACGATAATTATTTATAACTACTGTTAGTGGGAGGTCATTGGAGATGCTAACGTTATCAAATGTTTCTAACGACTCTGACTTTCTTTTAAGCTATAATGCCTAATACGTTTTCCCAATGGGATTATACAAAACACAAAGTTGGATATTTCAATATTAGTTGTATTACTCTCGATGTATTATTGCTCAACTGGAAATACCAGTTATATTTCACCGTTCACAAACTGTTAACAATCAGAACAAGAAAATCTATCAACACTAACTACTATTGTAGTGAACAGAACACAGGTGAGGAAAATCGAGTGTATTTGACACGGTAGTTACAGACTATCCCACTAAAATCTGACAGCCATACAATAAACAGTTAATTTGTAAACTATCAATCAATTGTCTCAATCTTGACCATTCCTCCTACAAATATCAGTCCATAGTCTCCGATACCGATAGCGTCCCGTTCCCATTCTCTCCTTATCGATATACTACTGAACTAGATTCAATGCCCCACCATCATTATATATTACTTGTGTGGATATAAGTAGCCCGCACCACACGATTACATGACCACGCAATTTATTCTGACTTTTGACACACAATTAAGTCGAATCATTTCAGTTATTCCTTCATCTATAGATTTATTGTTGATACTTGTCCAACGGTGGCTTCAATTATTTTTCTTGAGCATGCACATGATAACATTTATGTGTCTATTCGCTCTCTGTACTTCTTATGGGGCTTACAAAACCTGAGTCACTTCATTATTCGTTGAGTCAGTGCACTACCAAACATCAATTCTTCATATATTCGCTACATCTTTGATTCCTTGTCCGTCGTTCAATTTTAGCATGTTTGAAATGTGCGTATCAAAAATAAAATTCGTGTTCGACCTCTACTATCTACAATGTATCATCATGATGTGCCGACAGAATGTATGCGAATTAAACCTAATGTATATTTAAACGGCATCATTACCACATCAACACGGTGAAATCAACAATACGGTTCTTAAATATGAAATTTACTAAAGACAGTCAAAACAAAGTCGTTGTCTAGACAGAAAATTTTATAAGTTAAAATATTCATTTCAGCAAGTACACAAAGATAGAACATTGTTCACAAAGTTTGATTCATTGCACAAAACACTAAGTGTGACATCCGATTCAATCTTTGGGCAGTTTTTCAATTATCTTCTCAAACCATGATTGCATCAATTCAGCACGTTGAGCACCTGTGGCCAAGACTTCTTCATGGTTCGGCTTCAAATCGCTTTCGACATCCAGCACACTTATATTTGTAACTAATGAAACAGCGAACACTTGAAGTCCACAGTGCCGGGCAATTACAACTTCCGGAATCGTACTCATACCTGTAAAACGTAGTGGGATTAGCAGTTATACATGGACATAAGGTTCTGTAGATAAATCGGCGAAAATGAGAGAGTTTGACTGATTCTCCTTCACTTAAGAGAACGTATCTGACATAAAACACGGATCAAAGATGTGAGTTAGTTACTAAATGACGCTTGTTATATGAGTATTTATTTACTTGTCAAATATTTAAACACTGATAAATTAAACATCTACAACATGTCCGAATTGGATCAATAGTGGTTAGCTGTTTCCACAAAATATTGAATTCGCTAACAGTCGAACAAGACCATGCTCTCAAATATCACATGTGCATATTTTGCAGGAGCGAAACAGAAATCTTGAGTGATGACACACAGCTTGCAACTTATTCTCATAAAACAGAGTGAGGAGCCTGTTACTTCAAGGCATCCAACAACCATAATGTGATAACACAAAATTTTCTCAACATCTGATCATTGAATACAACAGTTATTGACTGTTACAAGACACTATCTAAATGAAAATGATTAATAAAGACTGAACTGTTGCAGCGAATCGAAATATATTATTGGTGATAAACAAGGTGTCGGTTGCAATCAACTTCGGAAGTTTTACCGAAAGTCACTCGATAGACAGTTTTCAGAGTTTGCATTGATGTTAGTTGAGAAAATTTGAGTAAGCCTTCATCCCATGTAAGGTTAATTGACTTAAACTGAATATCTGTATTAAGTACTCTATATACGAAAGGATTATATTTTTATATTTTGTGGTCTCCATTACATACACAATTCATTTCAAATGCTTAACTGACTGAAGCTAGCGTCGGAAGTGTGTTCTGTCAATTTGAGAAAATCATCAGTAACATTCCATTTTAAAAGCAAGCAGTTTTAATGTCATTGAAATTTAGTAAATAAGTGGTTGTTTAATTACCGACTACATCACAACCCATGTTAAGCAGCATCGTGCATTCAGCAGGTGTTTCGTAACAAGGACCACCACTCATAACGTAAACACCCTGGTGAACCAAATTCCCGAAGCCGTTTTCTTCAGCTACTTGCACAGCTAGTTTTCGTAGGTCTCTGTCATAGGCATTCGTAAGTGCTGGGAATCGAGTACCAAATCTACAGAAGTGAAACTAAACACAATGTAACATACTCCTCCTGATTCGGTCCGACCAAAATATTATTTAATCCTAGTCCAGGAAGGTAAATGTGGTCTTTCAAGATCACGAAGTCACCGAGTTTGAGACTTCTGTTGAGACCACCAGCAGCATTACTAACCATAAGAATTTTGACTCCCAATAACTTCATCACGCGTATGGGGAGAGCGACCTATGGCAAGAGATAATTGATCATCACAAATGTATTACCGTGTCATTGCTATATCCCTCGTACATGTGAAACCGTCCTTGCATCACAACTACTTTTCGGCCGCTCAGAGTTCCAAATATCAGGTTTCCAGAGTGTCCAACAACTAAAAATGTTAATTGAATGAATGCAACCACTTACCAGACGTTTGAGGGAAGTTGGGAATCTTTGTGTATGGGATTGTGATTTTGTCTTTTACCCCATCAGCCAACTTTCCCAGACCACTTCCACAAATTATTCCGATTTCTGGTACGATACTTGTTAATTTTTGTATATGATGTGCGACTTTTTTGACATTTTCCATGTTAGCAGTTACTGACTCATGCCTTCGATTGAAGTAATCTGCATCTGTTATGTTAACTTACATTTTCAAGCAGAAACTTTTGTATTATCCTGAAAATAAGCGGAGGAAATTGAATAAGCCGTAGAATCCGTATTGTGAAATGTGAATTTGTTTCCAGTATTTAAAAGGTGAATAAGTGTTTGCTTGATCTATTTTACTGCTTAATTTTGATGCAAACCCCTAATTTATTTTGTTTTGTTAAAAATGATGAATTTCACCAAAAGCCCATCTTTTCTTTATAACTGTCGATTTCATGACAATTTCATTACTCGCTATTCGTTCTGTCAGAAAAAATGGTGACGCGATAGAGAATTTTAGCCTTGACCGTCATTTTATTTGCATGTTTGTCTACTGGGTATCGCTATGCGTAATAAATTCAACGGTAATGTTCATTTAGTACCTTCAAAAGCCTATTTAATATCACCTGATTAGACAGTAATATAATCACTAAGACCGACCCAATCTTAGCTTTCATTGGTTCCCGTACTTTAAGTTGCAGTAGTTGATACACGTCAAAGATTATCTGTTTGTTTCATTGTCATACTAAAATTATGTATCAGATCTTTGAGGACACTAGAAGCGCAAATCATTATTTTGTTTATTGAATACATAGTCTTCAGAGATGTACGCATAGTGTCCAAGAACATAAAATATGCAAGCCGAAAGGTCTGCAACAGTCGCAGGAATTGTCTCTTATGTTTCGGACGATTGCTGAATGAGGAAGTTTGGAGTAAATCAACTTCATTGGATTCAATGTGATAACTGATGACAGTTGTATATCATGTTACAAGATATTTTCGTTATGATCACTTAAGCAATGGGGCCTGAAATTCTATTTTTCTGAATCACTAAAATGCACGTATGTGAACCGTTCAGGATGTCACTCACTGAATATTAATAAGACAACTGTTCACAGATTTGTCAATTTATAACACTTTACTACAGCAAAAACAAAAACTAACAAAGTAAAATTCAGACAAGTTAAATCATAAGGAGATATATCATAAAGCTAAGCACAGTAAATGTAGGGAATAAAAGGGAATAAAAAAGAATGAAAGCAATAGGATAACACCATACTGAAGACTTGGATAAACATGACACCCTCGTAGAACTGAAGATATGTCTTTGTTTTGTTTCACATCATTAGTAGTTTCAATAAACATTACGAAAATTTGCAAGCAAACTGATATTGTTGATAGTGTTATACCTCAAAACTCTCTATCAGCAATAATACATTATATTGGAAATTAAAAAGTAGAATTCAAATAAGTGTTCCAAGTTTGCTGATGTTAAGAATCAGAAAAACATTATGATGAATACACGAAAAAAGGAGCCATGAAGTTCGAGAAATAACGCAGGACTCACCGGTTAACAAGTTGACGCGATAGCCGGTTCAGAATTTAAGACAATATATATAGTTAACTTTGACCTTCCAATATCCAATATCTTTGTGACAAGTCATTATCCAATATATGATATACAATATATTTGTCACTAGCTTGTATACTTACTTACGCCTGTTACACCTCGTGGAAGAGCACAGGCCACCTACCAGCATTCTCCATCCAACTCTGTCACAAACAATCCTTTCCAGTTATTTCCAGATGTCGTTAATTCTTTTGATGTCTGCTTCCAATTGTAGGTGCAGTGTGTTCTTTGATCCTCCTCTATTCCCCTTCTCTTCGGGATTCTAAGTTAGCGTTTGCCTCGTGATGCAGTTTGATGATTTCTGTAACATATGTCTTATCCACTTACAACGTCATTTCCTAATTTCATCTATATTTTGAAGCTAGTTTGTTCTCTCCAATAGTAGGCTGTTGCTGAAGATATTCAGACTGCGAGCATTGAGTATCGTGTGTAGACAATTGTTTAGAAATACTTTTACGTCTTTGATGATGGTTGTAGTAGTTCTCCGAGTTTCAACTCCGTACAGTAGAACTATCTTAACGTTTGTATTGAAGATTCTGACTTTGATGTTGACTGGCAGTTGTTTTGAATCCCATTTATTCTTCAAATGTGAAAATGAGGTCGTTGTTTTTTTTTAACCCTTGCCTTTACGTCTGCATTAGATCTCCTCTTAGTTATCAATGATGCTTCCCAGGAGAAAAGTGAGTACCCTTGTCCTTCTCCGGTCCTTACATGGAACGAGTCTGCAAGATGTCCTCCATGCATCGATTTTCACTGTAGTCCATCATATGAATTTCGTATGATGTTGGCGAATTCCCCAGGTACATCATAGTGTTGTAGAAGGTTCCATGAGGTTCTACTATCCACACTGTCAAATACTTTTTCATAGTAAAGAGACAGTTGATGTCTATTGACGAGTTCCATTAAATTAATTGTTCAACGATGATCCGTATCGTCACGATTTGGTCTATACACGACAAATCTTTATGGAATCCGGTCTGTAGATTTCGAAGTTGGGCGTCTACTGAGTCTTTCACCCGGTTCAGCAACAATCTGTCAAATTCTTTTCCTGTCACTAATAGTCGTGTGATGCCTCTTTAGTTTCCACACGTGCTCAGATCTCCTTTCTTCATTGTCCTTCTATCCAGTATGTCAGTGGCACTTGTTCCTCCTCCCAAATCTTGCTGAATATAACGAGAAGCACGTTTGCATTTGCTTCTATGTCTGACTTCAGTGCTTCAAGTGGTATATTGTCAGCACCTACTGCTTCCTCACGCTTGATTTTGGATATCGCCTTTAGAATCTTCTTGCCCGTCTTCTGATAGCCAAGCCGTGTTGGGGTGATTTGAGGTTCTAGTATGTTGTGCGCCATTATTGAACCATCTCTTCTTCTTCCTAAACTCGGCTGGGATAATCTCGAGATCAGGAGTTCGTTTTCGTAAAATTCGGTCCCTGGCCCCTTCACTCACTTTGTTATGTGTTTTATTTGCTGTTCTGGGAGCTTTAATTGTCTTGAAGTGAACGGTTGAGCTGACAATTTGTGCTTCCAAGTGAGGACGTGCTTACATTTCATACAGCATCAGATACACCTATGAATTAACTGCGCCATGTTGCCTTCGAATAATTTTGGTTATAATGCGCCGTCTGTGCCTAGTTTGTCATGCGCCTTTCCATCTCATGGATAACTGTCTCTTTTTCTGGTCACCCACTCTCGACCCTCATCACTCTTGTCAGGATGGTGTGTTGAGGATGTTCTCTCATATCCGCGTAGTCTACATGGGTGTAAAATAGTAGGATGCCTTCCGGTTACGCTACGACGTCAGGGTTTTACTGACCTTCAATTTGAGTAATATGGCAACTTAGCTTAAATAATTTCAGTGAGTTTGGAGGTCATTTTGGGATTTTTAATATGTTGATTTTAAGTGAATACAACTTTTTCAAAGTAGTGAGATTTCTGAAATCAGAGTCAAACAAACTACCAGCCTAGGGAATGGCTGATCGCAATGTGGAAACTATAAAGTCAAAATGAGTAATGAGGAACAAAAGACAATCGTCAAAAGTAGGTGATGATGATGTAATTGTGCAAACGAAATAAACAATAGTGTTAGAATGGCAGACAAACAGAGCTAATGAGATGCAAAGTAGGTGAAAATGCTGTTTTATAGGTACTACCAGAAATGGCGATTGTACTACCCATAGATATTTTGTCAAGCTCACAAGGAACAGCTACATTAGTGGAAAGCCTGCAAACCTCAGGCAAGTACGTAGATTTCAAGGCTTTTTTCGAAACTGTCTTTCGAAAGGGTTGTGGCCACATTTGCTGGGAGATGATATTTGATAGGTCTGAATTGTAATGAAAAGTTTAAACCTGAATGAGTGTTTAACAACTGTCATGAGACTTTGCGGCTTTTACATAGTTTGCAGTGGTAAGGACCAAATAGAATATTTTAAGGTCAAATCAAAGCACCTAGTCTAATGCACATCAATATCATATCACTTCTTACTTTTCTCTGACCAAGAAAAAGCAAACCTTGAAGGCTACGTCCATCCGCGTATGTCTTCTAGCCCTTTTTTACCCATGTCTCTGTTAGTCTCTATACCTGTTCTATAAGATTCGTATCCCTTATAAGGAAAGGTAGTGTAACAAGTTCGCGAATTTCGGGATGAGGCGTTGCCACGTTTCATGCAAAACAAGAAACAAGTCTAAGTGATGGTCATCTCCAGACGACGAAAAAAGTTACTTGCGTTCTTTCCACGTGACCACTGTGATCTAAACTCTCTGAATTTGGTCCGAAACAAAACTTTCATTAAGGGGGACTTATGCAGGTCAAACTTATGGTATATATATAAATCTTTCCCTCTTAAGTAATATCCAGATCTTGGTGTCTTTGGTGCAAATGAGAGCTGAGTGGTAACTATCTATTTGGTACTGATAGAAATTAAGGGGTGGTAAGATGATTTTCCTTGGGATTCTAGACGTTGTGTACCTTCAATCCCCACATACCCTGTTTAAGTTGGTGCAAAACCTCGATTTCTGTTAGCTAAGAATGGGCTCCTCGCTGTCAGTTTATAACCTTACATTATAATAAAAGCCTTATATCCCATATTTTGCTACATCGGGTAACAGAATATCTGTATCTGAATACGACTGGCCCATGCAACATACAAAATAATGTTGTAAATGGTTCAACTAGATCATAAAAAATGTCTCCGTTGACTTCAGACTTTATAAGGTAATATATGAGCTCTACAGCAATACAGTTTTACAGAATTTAAGCTCTACTATTTTGATAAGCTGGAACGTTCCGCAGTCAAGCACAATGGATGTTCATTACCGCGAATATCACTGTTGATAGAAATATCGTTTCAAATAGAAAGCTGCAGAAAAATGCATTTTATGCTAGTCTATTGAACTGTTTACTTCACTAACTTACAATTGTGGCGAAGGACGTCTTTGAATTTCAGTCGTCTCAGAGTTCTTTTTTTCTATGAAGTCAAGATGACTTACATAAATGTCTCATGAGAATATCTGTAATGTAACTTGCCACTATTTGAAGATAAGTAATCGTGGACTGAGATCTGAGGTTTTGTTAAAGCTGAGACGTGGAATTGCGACGACTTGTGTCTATTAACCTGTAACTTTGAAATTTTTTTAGTTATTTACTTTTGTGTTCATGTTTTTTTAATATTAGTCAAAGAAAGGTTGCGTTGGAAGTACAATATTGAGTCAACAGTAAATAAGTGGATTGTAGTATGAACATTAACGGCAGCGACGCGAAAGCGTTGCAACGCTTCAAAATGCATGCTACAAATCAAGAACAGAGTAATTAATTTTTTTCCTGAAATCAAGTTTGGTCTAAAATATAATGACAGTCGGGTTGTCAAACTTGTGTTAAGTTCTTGAGTGATAGCCGAAAATATCTCCCGGAAGACTCAAATATTTATATGAGATATATGTTCTCAAACTGCACGTTATATCCAGTTAATCCTATGTACTTGGAAGAACGCATAAAAATAAAGACCATTTCCAAGAGGATGCATTTATTGCACAGTCCTTAAGAAGACAAAATAAAATTATACAAAGGAGAATTGAAGGAGACATGATATTGATGTACAACACTAAGTAGCTTACATCACTCTAAAAATGTATCTAAAACCCATAATCGCAGGTAAGAGGGTGCCCTGTTTGGTCCAGATACTAAATCGAACGTCTTCAGCTATGGGCGGCCCTCTCTATAATTATAAAAACAGAACTAATGTCAAAGACTTTAAAGGTTATTTGTCTAGCAGATGAGTTTATCGTGGTATCTCTAATAGTTTATTTAGAACATCTAATAATGTAGGTTTAGATTGTCGTTTATTTATTGTCAGGATGTGGGACTGTTTGGAACACCAGTAGATAAAATACCACGAACTAGCAAATATTCGACTAAATAACTAAAATTAATAGTAGAAGAGTATTAGTGACTCATCATTAAAGTATAAGAATGCTAAACAAGAGTGAAAACACTGAGGGAACGATGATAACTGCAGAGTGAAACAAAGGATCATTGTCATATTATATGCGGATATGAGGGATGTTTACCCACTGACCAGTACAAAGGATCTAAAATATGGAACGTGTTACTATATCAGAGGTGACAACATTAATAATCACTGACTACAGACATTTCGAGGAAAGATTAATATATGCTAGTTGACAGAAGCATTTATGGGATTAAGATATGTTCACAAACGTATCGAGATAAGCGCTTTATAAATGTATATTGACTGCGACAGGACGGTTGCATCTATGAATCGATGATAGGGCAAATAGTTCTTCCATATACGTTGGATTTTTCTGCTGATCAACGCTTATTTCATCTTCCTAACGATCACGCAAAGTTGGTTTGTTAATGGTTTAATGAAATATCAAGAGTTTAATATAAATCACCCTTATAAAATTAGCAGTCAACAAAAATTTTGGAGTTGGATGATGGT